AAGAAACCGGTAATATATTGAAATGTCATTCAAATAAATCCGTTGTGCCGCGGCAGAACGCTGTCTAGGATAGATTTTGATAAAATATTGGTGGTCAGCTGTAAGATTAATTGCTGCTTCAATTAATGGTAATGGATAAGTATCTTTCATGTTGATATTGTGGGGTTTTCTGTAGTTCACGACAAAGCGTTGCGAACCATCTGGCTTTAGAAACAAGTAGTACAGTATGATCCATAAGTTAATTTGTTTGATAACATTTGTTGTGTATGTTTCGAGGTTAATGATTGAGTTTGTTATGGACCAAGATAGAAACACGAATTGACTGGACCCTTGTCTCTCATTCAAATACAGTTTAAGAATATTGAATAAAACTAACAAAAGAAATTTGGTGTATATGTATAGATACATCAAAAGAAACTGATGGTGTATTGAAATGGTTTTTCCATGTTATTCAATTCAACTTATCAATCATTAGTATTCACTCTATCTTTTCTACACTTCGTTTACTTTTACTTTTCTTTTCTTTCATCTTATTGCCCTTCTGCTTCATTTTCAGCGCTTCTCGGAGACTTCCTGAAAAACGTTGGATGAGGATTATGACAGGAGACACGTTGGGCGATCCGATAATGTGCTTTGCTTAATATTGACATTTTTACAAACGTTTCTTTCAGTATTATCAGTAGTTTTCTTTATGACTCTAATAAAATTTAATCGAGACAACCTTGGATTTCTCTTCAAGACTCGATAAAATACTTCATAACACCTGGATGGATCTGTGAACTTTGCAGGTATATAGAATATATTATGATTAGACTTTATTGCCTTAGAGTGAGCGTAAATACGACTTTATACCAGTATTTCATCGATTCAATCTATCAACCATTTATATTTATATTATATTCGATTAATTTACACTTCATTTTCCTTTACTTTTCTTTTCTTTGAACTTATTCTGATACTTTCTTCAGATATTTTTCTTTTGTGCTCGTGCATATGTGTGTTTTACGTTCTTTTTCTTAAAGAGCAAAATAAGAAAAGGAAAAAATTGTATACTTTTGTCGAAATGTTCATTTCTTCTATATTCGATAGAAGCAGTGAATTTATTCTATATTCTGCCAACTTCTCGAATTAAAATTAAATTAACTGGAGAGAACCCATTTCCACGTGTTATACTACTTTGGAGTACACAAGTTGTACTGTGTATTGATATAATTTCCAAAAAGCGATCTCTTTTAGTTTTTCAGCGCAAACCTGCCGGACTGAAACGTCAGGCCCTCTCACAAGTCATCCTGTAGTGATTTGGTCTTTACACTAGAAAAAATGTATTAAAACCAAATAATTGTTAAAGATCAAACAAATGTGGTGTCATAGCAACACATTCTCATTTACGTTAGTAGCAGTTTTGAACTGTGTGTTTATACACAAAACAGAAATACAAACAGCAGTTCTGTCAACTAGACTTTAGTTGATGAATCCACAAAAACATAGACAACATTCTATTTTTCCATTAAATGCACGTACTTTCAAATGTAATATCCCAATACCCCAGATCAACTTCTTGCATATAAATATTCCTTGACGTTTTTGATTTGTATTTGTATCCATTAGTTGTTTCATTTATTCGAACGCATCGTGTGTAAATATAATTAGTAAAACCTGAATTTAAACGAATTTTTAATTTATATCCGTTTATTTGTGATATGATATCTTGTTTGGACGTCAAAGAATTTATTTCTGTGCCACCCACAATTCTAATTGGACATTCACAATATTTTTTCAATATTAATATACATTTAAGAGTATTCGACCGTACAGCTTCTAATGACGTACAACTAGATCCACTCTTTTTACTACATCCCTCAACCGATGTTATTTGTATACCGGCACGCAACATCATCATTGATGCTTGTTGATGACTGAATATTTTAAGAGATTTAACTTCTTTCAATAGTTGATCAAATACAGTATTAATCGAACAAATACAGGGATCTAAAATTTGCATATATTGACACTTATCATTCGATTCGGATTACACACTTACCGTTTAGCTTTTTTACTGGTTGAAATATTAGAATAATAATAATTATTAACAATATTATATTGCATATGTAAGATACGCAATTTTTTGAAATTTTAATTGTATATTTTTTATTCAACGATCCGTCTTGTTTTAGTTTTTTTGATACTTGAATTTCATCGAAATTTTTATCTAAAATATCAAAGCAATGTCAACTCCTGCACACGTGCCTTACTCTCTTCATCTTCTAATGAATTCCTCACTTATGGTTGAACATTTATCTGTCTGCATATCGTCCAGTGCATATTTGAAAGTGGGCAAAGATGATGGAAAATTGTAAAGAGCTGCAAATAAATAAATTGTAAAGAGCTAACAGTCAAATAAATCGAGAAATTAAGAGAAGCATTATCCTTCAATCGTTTAGACGCCATATGGCATCCAATTGATTCAAAAGCGTTTATCAAATATGTTGGATCTTCGTCAGATATAATTCCTCTATTAATCAATGTTTCCAGTAAATTTAATGTATCACCCACTGTTGTATCATCTCTTTCACGTCTTGGCACATTCTCACATAGAAATTGGAATTTTTTACGTTCATCATCCGATAAAAGATCTTGTACATTGATTAATTTGACACGAAATTGATTGTTTATAGGTAGTTTCGATTCAATATTCATTGATTCTGTTAAAACATTATATTGTTGTTATGAAGATACGTGGTCTTTTGTACCATGTGGAGAATGATGCAAACAACATGTATGTTGTTGTACAAGAGAAAAGAAAGAAAGAAAAACCCTTTATTTCTTTCCCGGACAAAAACTCTGGATGTAATGACGTACTGATGATAAATATATAAGAAGGATACTTCCGATTTCTTTGTCATACTCTTGAATTTTTTTCTATCTTGTCTGTTTTTTCAGCTTTTCATGCATAAAACTTGAGGCTGTATCTGAGACAACCATAACTTCAAGTTGAATTTCAATTTATTTGTTAACTTTTTAATCTGGAAGTTGCTAGAATACTAATTTTATAGTGAAGGGAACCTTTCTTTTGGATAAAACGATAAAATTTGTTCTTTTCTCCATTTCTTGCTATATCTGTCTCTATAGTATGCATAGAAAGAAGAAAACACCAAAGTTTGTTTCAAGAAGATACTGACTATGGATAAAAGCA